TTCTACATCACATGGTCGGCTCTTGTGGCCGATTTTTTTCCCTTTTTCCTTGCAGTCGATTTTGGTCGATTTTCTTTTAGTCTGGTGGTTTCTCTGACGGGTGAACGTGAACGTGTATTGTTTTCTTATTTTTGGATTTGAATGGTAGATTTCATATTGAAATAGGTGAGGCAAGATTCAACAAATAAGAGTCTCCAACTGGAAGGTAAAAACGTGATTTTATATATTTATGATGATGCTGATCACAAAACTTGGGTTTTAAAGGCAAATGAATCATACAATCGTATTTCAAGCCATAAACCTTTTTTCCACTAAATCACATACAATATTTTTTATAAAAAGAAAAAACAAAACTAATACAACACTTGCTTCTGTCGCCTCTCTAATGGCTGCTAATTGCTTAACCTGTCAAAAGAAGCGAAACAAAAGAAAACATTGAAAAAGAACTTCATGATTAATAATAGAGTAAACCATGCACACGGATTTCCTGCAAACTCAGATACTAATTTGTGCTTTCTTAAATAACTGGATAAACATCAATGAGTCAAAAATTTTGAATGGGAAAAAACAAGTATGAATATAGCAAATAAAAACAACTAAAGCTGGGAGGCGCCACCAACAGCTATATACGTTTATTACCTGACCCCTAAAAAGTGCAATAAAAAATAACAGCTCGTTTTGCACTCTTCCCGGTGGTGTGCCCATTCATAATTGAACATCTAAAAATATGATTTAGAAGTAAAGATATCTATGAATACTGAGAAAAATGGCATTTCCTAGACTGTTCTGAGCCCAACTCTGTCGGTCCATCAGAGCAAACTTGGATGCTACAGATTAATTGGATCTGCATGACTGAAAATTCTAAAGAAATCATAAGGAAGTCTGCATGACTAATTTGTGCATGCATTAGCGTATTTCATCTTGCCTAGATAATCCATATGCAGAACTGAGAAAACATGGAATCACGAACTGATAATATACATCCATATATTAGTCACTAAATCACATCTGGCATGAAACAAAACATAGGCAAAATTTTCAAATCATTAAATAACAACAGTAAATATACTTTGAACAGTCCTTCAAAACACTGACATTAGGATGTCAAATGAAATAACAGAAAGTATGTTTATAGTGGAATCAGGCATAGGAATAATTTCTGTTACTAATTTATCCATGCAGTTTAAGGGGTCTCTACGCAAAGTTAAATTGTATCAGGAGTACATGTGTGATCCATGCAGCCAAATTAGCTGTAGTCCAGCTTTATATGCTCAAGTTATCTTGCAAATGCAGTACCAGATAAATTTAATTTATTCATCTACTTTCAACTATTTTCATATGTCGAAGCAATAGATTTTTTTACTACTAATTGTGTCAGTATCTTCATAATTGAACGTATTAAAACTTAAGCAAAATGAGCACAAGATCGTCCACTACAGTACCACACCATCACTCCTGACATGGGATACCAAAAAGGTGTTGCCTCAGCAGCATCAGTGTGGCTATAATGTCTTCTAAAAACTGCAAGAGCAAAACAATATTCACTATTAATTCATTGGCCGAGAAGAATAGGAAAATGGGGCATACGCCACTCTCCCCATCTCCCTGTCTCATTTGCATTACCTCATAATGAATATATATATATATATATATATATATATATATATATATATATATATATAACTGGATTTCTCTCTTACAAATCGAAACCAGCATAGCACAATCAAAAAAAGGAAAAGAAATCAAAGTTTACTACAGCACAGAGGAAGACAGAGTCAGGAGGAAGACAAAATTACCTGGAGAGCACCAGCATGGAAAAACTGATGTCTCACTTGGCCATCAGCCCACATCACCCCTTCTTATTCAGCACCTGAACTTCATGGCCATATCTCCGTCACTACAAAAAAAAACCATGACCATAGCTCCGTCACTACAAAAAAAAAACCATGACAAGAGTCAGTTTGGTTGACAAATCAAAAAAGATATAAGCTGATTAAGTGAAGTCTCCGATGCATAAGTACATGGATAGCTAGATCTTCAATCAAAATTGACCGAACTCTAGCTGCAGTGATGATCAAGTTCAAGTTTTAATTTGCCATGCTTATGCATTGAGCAAAAAAGGAGCTGCTAATTAATCCACCACCATAGTTACTATATCACAGCGAGTCACTTATAATGTCATAAATTAATCATCGTACTAAGTCTTGTGTCTCGGAATCAGTAGTTAACTGAATAAGTGAATCCACTCAATTAAAATTTTATTAATGAATCATCTTTGTGGAATGTGTTTCTAAATAATATTTTTTTTATTGTCGCGTAGCATGCAAGGATTCCTATGAACACCTATTTTCTAGAACAATCCTAATATCTGTTTCTAGAAATGAATATTTATGGTGATATCAATTTGATTATCGGACCGTCTGCAGCTAATATGTTTTGCCTAACATATCTAGTTGGTAACGCTTGGACACTTGAGAACCAAAATAGAAGAGATAGCCCGATAGTCTACAATAAAATGGCTTCCCAGAGAAACCACAAAATACTCAACTTTAGAGCCATGAAGGTATCAAGGGACACTAGTTCCACACTCTGGTACTGCTATCTTTCTGCTTGTTCCTGGCTGCATAAACAGGACAAGGATGAGACCAACATCGTCTGAAAATTCTCAGACGACAATATTCTGTCAGAGAAAACAATTTTAGCATAGGTGGGCAGGATAGGTTCAGATCCTAGTCTTAGAAGCACCATGCCTGCAATGAACATACCAATGGGGTGGGCGCCTAGGAGATAAATTTTATTGTTTATTCGGCAATTAAACTATTCAGGAATCATCTAACTATACACTCACTCATACATGATGCTAAGACCAAAGATCAAAGCAAACTGGTTTGGTTCCTAGGGTCTGAAACAGAAAAGAAACATTCTTTGATATTTGCAATGTGTATATATGAAATGCTTTTTGTAGCATGCTATTGTGCTACTATGAATAAGTCTTTATGGCCTTATCACTAGCATGTGTGAGATTGCATAAAGCCATAAACATGCATATGAGCACAAAGCCATAAACATGCATATGAGGAAAAAATAGAAAAAGTTATTATATCAGTGCTAGACGTTTGAACGAACATTTGACATGCAAGTTGTTAACACAACATTTGACATGCAAGTTGTTAACACAAAACATTTGACATGCAAGTTGTTTTATTTCCACTCAAGCCAGTGTAATTCCTGATATAAAAGGTAGCATAAATTCAGTTAGACATTTGACACACAAGTTGTTAAACACAAAACAGTCTACCGTTGTCCACTACCTTATGAACTGAGCTAGATCCAATATTTATATGAATGAACTGGATGAACTCACGAATTTGAAAGCTTTACAAACTAGCTTTAGATATAACTGTTAATTGTAGTAAACAATGCACAACTCAATAATGGTGAATCTAGGGATACAGACAAGTGGAAGAAAGTGCTCTAATTCCCACATTTGCAAGTTTTCATTGAAAAGTGTGATCAGAAGATTTGAATCATCGTGCATGTAAACGACTGCTAACCTACATAATTTTTCAGCAAAAATAAAGAGTATGTCAGATAGCACAAAGGCTTATGATTCTGCGAGTATGATCAATGCAGAAAATTAGTAAAGATGCAAAGAGAGTGCTAGCTAAAAATGTAATAGTTTCACTTGATCAGAGTTTTGGGTGTGACTGAACTCTGAAGTGTGCAGTCCAAAACAAAATATCATGCTGAAAAGGAAATGGTAAGAAGCGGAAGTTTACCATTAGGAAACTACTTCTCCTAGACTGCTGACTCTGACAAGAAATTAAAAGAATTCATTGCGTAAAGAATAATATATATTGCAATATAGCTTTCCATCTGAGATTACATCCAGACAAACGTTATTTATAAGCTGAGAGTTCACATGAAAACAAATTATCAAATAAATTTTTTAGGATATGACAGTTGAATACTGCATTGTGTAGCTCATTAGGTCTTAGCAACAATCATTTTAGCACTTCGGAGATGAAAAATAAAAACCCTGATATATTCCTTAAGTTAAGTGCAAGGCCAATAAGCTTGGCTTATAGCCAAGCCATGTCATTTGGACACTAGCTTAATAGATTATTCATAAAAACAGTTGGTCTTTTCACTTTTTCCAAAGCATATATTTTATTAGTATGGGTCCCACCACCACAATGCTAGGCAAGATTAAGATGAAGGCATAATTTGCAAGTAAATAAGCTGCTAATCTGCCTCAGTGGGATAGGATAGATAGTTGCAAGGAAAAACAGCTTTGAATTTGCAAGTAGAAGAGACTGCATAATTGACAGGTTTAGGCAAGTGGCGTCTCAGGTTTAGTTCTTGAAAAAATATATGTTGAGCAATTGTCAGCATAGAAATCTTTCTAGACTCTTGAACAATAAAATACACGCAGAGTCAGTATAAACCAAAAAGTTAAAAGGTTAAGGAAACATCTTGAATCAGTGAGAAATAATGTTGAGTACCCATTGGCTCGGAAGTGAAGCGAGATCTTCACCTACGGTTGCCACAAACCTTCGTAAGAGTAGAGGCTCTATATACATTATACATCAAAGCATACAATGGATAGCCAACAAATAACACCTCCAGAGCATCTACTAGACTGCTATTATAAAACTTCAGGATGCTAAATATCCAATTATGCAAGTGGCATTAAATTTACTATACAAAGCTAGAAAGGCAATAAAGATTTTCAGCACACCAACTAACAAGAGAAAATTACGTCATGATCAAAGTTCCGCTAGGCGCTCGCCTAGGCGCGCCTAGGCGCGCTTAAGCGCTAATCGATGGCCCTCCGCGTAGACTAGGGTGTAGTCGCAGTCCTAGGCGGGAGCAGCGACTAGGCGGCGCAAATCGGCGCCTCGGCGGCGATTCATGGCCTGTGCAGCACGCAAGGCGGCGAAGTGACGACGACCGCTCACGGGCGAAATTTTGGCCGCCTTTGAGCTGCAGCAGCGCTTATGGCGTCTGGGGCGCGGGAAAGGATTGGGAAGAAGAGAAGAAGGAAAAGGTCCGCTCCGCTCGATTCTTGCCTTCAGGTCGCAGATAGCCGCTCGGCCACTCCCGCTCGTCCTCTCTCTCCTCCTGACGGGACGCCACGGAGGGAAGCTCCACCGCCGGTCGCCCTGCTCCCCCGCGACCCCTTTGGAGGCTTGTCCCGGCCGGCCTCCTCTGCCCCTTTGGAACCTGCCGCCTGCCTGAAGAAGCCGCCCGGTCTCCTCACCCACCGACACCTCATCCCTAAGCTGGTGTGCAGCACCAAGGTCAGGCCCCTCCCCTGCTCCTCTCCTCCATGTCCTCTGTTTTGAATGCATCCCCTGCTTCTCTCCTCTGATTTGAATGCCTATGATTCTGTGAATGTGAATGGATGAGTTGATCTGATTTTGCCTGCTGTGAATGCCCATTGTCTAAATGTAGGATGTCTACAACAGAGGGTGCACTAGGTGAGGGAGAAAATAGTGAGTCAGCGAATCTCCTGAAATGGAATTCGGATGATGTTGGATGGGAGTATGGTGTTCTTGTTGATCCTAACAACAAGGACAAGGTGAAGTGCAAGCTTTGTAAGAAGGAGATGAGGGGAGGGATTTATAGGTTTGAAGCAGCATTTGGCTCATGAGGGAAAGAATGTGAAGAAATGCACGGCTACAACAGTGCAGGCCATGGAGGCTAAACAGAAGTGCAAGAAAGCACTAGATGAGGCAAAAAGAAAGAGGGAGGAGAAGACTATTCGTGAGCTAGAACTTAGAGAGGAAGTTAGTGTATCTAGGGTTGGAGAGTCAGATGAAGTTACATGTGTTGGAAGTTCAGAGCCCCACAAATTAGGACCCATTGACAAATGGACACGTGCCATTGATCCTAAAGCTACCAAGTCTGATTCTTTGAAGCAACAACAGCTGAACAAGGAACTTTGGAAAGAAAGAACCAATGAGGTGCATAAGTACATTGCAAGATGGGCCTATACATGTCAAGTCATGTCGGACGCCTTTATATATATGACAAGCATTGAGACCATGACCATGACAAGGCTGTGCCAAGGGTTGGTAGTTAGCGTTAGTTATATTTGCATGGGTTAGCCTCTAGTGGCTAAAGATAGAAACTTAGATTAGTGAGTTGTTTTGGAAATTCCTAGAATCGGGGAGAGCCTTTCCCTTCTCGGTTGGGCCATTGGCCATATAGGTTATCTTGTGATCATTGAACAAATCAGAGAGAGAGAGATTATATTAGGAATATCTCTCTCTCTTGATTGATTTGTTGAGAGGATAACCTCACAAGCATATATGGCCAATGGCCCAACCGAAAGGGAAAGGCTCTCCCGATTCTAGGAATTGACGCCCAAAACAACTCACTAATCTAAGTTTCTATCTTTAGCCACTAGAGGCTAACCCATGCAAATGGCCGCCTAACGCTGGCCAGCAAGGCCAACACACAGGGCGGACGTCATGGTGCGTCTGCTGCCGGCATATATGTGCGTCCCCGCATGATGATCTCTCTCCTCCTCAAGTCCGGCTTCGTCCTCGAGCTGAAAGGAAGGGAACCGAGCACGGAGGTCGTCCAGATCCTCCCATGTAGCCGAAGCAGGTGGTTCTCCCTGCCATTCAACGAGCACCTGGCGCACTCCCCGGGCCAGCCGAGCTCGCGTCACCCGTGCAGGTGCAGGCACCACAGCACCGTGCAGGAGCGGAGGCAGCAGGGGTGGAACGGCCGGCGGGGTACCGACAAATTTCTTGAGGACGCCGACGTGAAACACATCATGAAGGCGAGCGCCGGGAGGAAGCTGTAGCCGCACAGCCACCTCGTTGATGAGCTCCGCCACCTGGTACGGCCCGACGTATCGTGGCTTGAGCTTCCCTGTTGCTGAGCGTGGAAGGGATGCTGCTGCCCGCTGCCGAAGGCGCAGAAGAGCCCAATCGCCGACCTGGAAGGACACCGGCCTATGGTGCTGGTCGTAGACGCGCTTTTGGACAGCCTGTGCCTGTTCAAGGCAATAGCGGATGTCGTCGAGGAAGGCAGCGCGCTCCTCCATCTCCTGGGCGACCGCTGCGACGCGGGTCTCGCCGGGCTCATAGGAGCGGATGGTCAGGGGGTCCCGGCCATAGACTACCCGAAACGGAGTTTCACGGAGCGATGACTGATAGGCGGTGTTGTAGGTGTACTCCGCCCATGGCAGCCAACGGAGCCACTGCCGGGGACGGTCGCCGGTGAAGCAGCGCAAGTACATGACGATGACCCGGTTGGCGGCCTCGGTCTGGCCGTCCGTCTGCGGGTGAAAGGCGGACGACATATAGAGCTTCGTCCCAGTGAGCCGCATGAGCTCCTGCCAGAACACCGAGGCGAACACTGGATCGCGGTCCGAGATGATGGACTGCGGAACGCCATGGAGACGAACGATGTCAGCGAAGAAGGCGTGAGCGACTGACTCAGCGGTGTAGGGGTGCGCCAGGGGGATGAAATGGCAGTACTTGCTGAAGCGATCCACCACGGAGAGGATGACCGTTTTGCCTTGCACCTTGGCGGCGCCCGATGAAGTCGATGCCGATGTCACCCCACAATGGACGGAACCCGGAAGTGGCTGCAGCGAACCGGCCGGCCCGAGGTGGTCGACTTGTATGCCGGCGGCAGTGACGCAGGCCTTCACGAAATCCCGCACCAAACGACGCATGGTGGGAAAATGAAAATCCCGCCGGAGCCTGTGGAGAGTGCGGTGGATGCCCTCATGGCCGTCGTTGTGGACCGCGGCCAAGATCTCCTGCAGTAGCGGCGACGCCGGGGGAATGTACAGGCGGCCGTCGAAGGCGACCATGCCGTCCACCAGCGCCCACGGAGCGGCGCGGGTGCCAGCCCGGACCTCATCGTGGATGGCGACCAGGGCCAGATCAGTGGCCTGGGCGTGGCGGAGGCGCTCGATGAAGTCAAAGCAGGGCGCCGAAATAGCCATCACCTCCCCTTCGTCATTGTCGCGACGGGGAGAGGGCGTCGACGACGACGTTCGTGGCGCCCGACCGGTACTCCACCAAGAAATCGAAGCCCAAGAGCTTGCCGACCTAGTGGTGCTGAGGGATCGTGGCGAGGCGCTGATCGAGGAGGTACTTCAGGCTGTAGTGGTCGGTCTTGACGATGAAGCGCCGCCCCAGAGATATGGGAGCCAGTGCCGTACCGCCTGGACGAGGCCGATGAGCTCGCGCTCGTAGGCGGCTAGCGAGCGATGGTGAGGCGCCACAGGCCTGCTGAAGAAGGCTACCGGATGGCCCTCCTGGACCAGGACCGCGCCGAAGCCGAACGTCGACGCGTCGCACTCGACGGTGAACAGCTTGGCAAAGTCGGGCATGGCGAGGACGGGGGCGGACGTGACAGCGGCCTTGAGCGCTGTGAATGCCGCGGCCACCGCGTCGTCCCAGGAGAAACCCTCCTTCTTGAGTAGGGCCGTCAGCGGTGCAGCAATCGCCCCGTAGTTGTGTACGAACTTGCGGTAGTACCCGGCGAGGCCGAGGAAACCGCGCACAGCCCGGGGCGAACGTGGAGCCGGCCAATCATGGATCGCCTGCACCTTGGCCGGGTCCATGGCCACACCCACCGCGGATATGACATGGCCGAGGTAGGCGACGGAGGAGGCACCAAAAGAGCACTTGGTGCGCTTCACGAAGAGTTGGTGGCGGCGTAGTTCGTTGAGGACGGCCCGGAGGTGGCGAAGATGATCAGCCCACGTCTTGCTGTAAATTAGAATATCGTCAAAAAATACCAGGACGAAGCGGCGCAGGAACGGGCGGAGCACGTCGTTCATCAAGGCCTGGAATGTCGTCGGGGCATTGCACAGTCCGAACGCCATCACCAGGAACTCGTACAGGCCATCGTGGGTGCGGAACGCCGTCTTGTGCACGTCCTCCGGTCGCATGCGCACCTGGTGGTACCCGGACCGGAGGTCCAGCTTGGTGAAGAACTTGGCGCCATGGAGCTCGTCGAGTAGCTCGTCGACCACCGGGATCGGGAAAGCATCCTTGACGGTGAGCGCGTTCAACGCCCGGTAGTCGACGCAGAAGCGCCACGAACCATCGGGCTTCTTAACGAGGAGGACGGGCGACGAGAACGGCGAGTCGCTGCGGCGGACGATTCCTTGATCAATCATGGCGGCACACTGCCGCTCCAACTCGCCCCTTGTGAGCGCGCGGGTATGCAGATGCGGCGGACGCGGCGACCGGTTGGGCGTCGGGCTTGAGAATAATGCGGTGGTCATGCGCACACTTGGGGGCAGACCGACGGGGTCCGCAAAGAGCCCCCCAAACGAGAGCAACAACGCCTCCAAGAGGGGACCGGCCTCTGTTGTTGCGCCAGGCCGCGACAGAGGGGCTGGCCACGCCGGTCCAGAGACGGGCGCCCCGGCGCTGGAAGGACATGCGCGCCGCGCCGAGGTCCCAAACAATGGGCCCCAACTCGCCGAGCCACACGGTGCCGAGGACGACGTCGCACTCGCGGTGGCATGACGAGAGGTCGGCCGGAACGACTCACCGTCGATGAGCGGGCGCGTCGCGGATGACGCCGCAAGACAGTGACCCGCTCACCATTGGCGACCAAGGCCGTGGAGGCGGGGCGTTGGCGGAGGGTAGACCGAGCGCCCGCCGCCTCCTCCGAGATGAAGTTGTGCGCGTGCTGCCGAGTCGAGGAGGGCGACGAGGGACGCTTGGCGCGCCGATTGCCACGGCGATCCGCATGGTGCCCGCCATGGGAACCCCAGCCATGGCTGCGCAGGAAAAACAGGCGCGCTCGGCGTCGTGGTTCGCGTCGCCCGGTATGGCGTCATGGCGTCTTCGAGCTCCACGCCTTCAAGGAAGAAAGAGGCCAAGCAAAACCTGTTATGGCCACGTAGGTATTTTTTCATTGCAATTAAAACAGAGACCCAGACGGCGCCGTTCCGCCATCTCGTCCGGGGTGAGGCGCTCTCTGTTGCCCCCCGCCACAACCCGCTTTGGCGGCCACCGGAGGGGAGGGAGCGGCAGCTCGGCTGCTGGGGCGCCTGGAAAGCTGGCCGGGGCGCGGGAGCGGGAAGGAGGCCGCACGGGGGCGCCCGAGGGGGAGGCTGCACCAGGCGGTCGATCTCCATCAACTCCACTTGGCGCGCGCCAGCTCATGGCGGCCGCGATGGCGTCTCCGGGTTGTGGATGCGGACGGCGTGGCTGAGCGGCGGCAGGAGTCCGCCGGTGAAGAGCTGGACGCGCTGAGCCTCATCAAGATGACCCGCGCGAGGCAGGAGGGCCTGGAAGCGATTGGAGTACTCCTCCACGGTCCCTGTACGCCAGCACTCGGCAAGCTCGAACAGCGGAGCCGAACGGAGGGGAGGCCCGAACCGCAAGTGCAGGAGCTCCTTGAATCGCCCCCACGGCGGCGTGCCCTCGTCCTCCTGGAGTTGGAGGTACCAGAGTTGCGCGACGTCCTCCAAATTGTACGAGGCCATCCACACGCGCTCCTCCGCCAAGCTGCGCTGTTGGCGAAAATAAGATTCGCACTTGTTGATGAAGAGCATCGGATCAGTCTTGCCGTCGTAGCGGGGAAAATCCAATTTTTGGAATTTTGGGGGGCGATCAAGATCGCGCGGCCCCTCCGGGCGGCCGCCGGCGCCGCTGTCCGACGACGAGGCCGACTTCTCCTTCATAGCCGCCATGTCGGCCTTCATGGTTGTCATCTCCGTGGTGATGGATTTCAACATCTCCATCACATCGGCGATGGTGGGATGGCTCATGGGTTGCTGCGGCATATGCAAGCGGTGGAGGCTCGCGGCGATGGTGGAGGGCTAGGGTGGTAGGCGGCGGCTGTGGAAGAATGGGTGGAGCGCGTGGGAGAGGACCGACGTGACCGTGATACAAGGTTGTCAAGGGCGTCGAACCCCTGACTGGCCGGACCGCGGCTACGCAGATTCAGAGTCCGTCGGCCGTCTTCTCCGGTGAGGTTATCCCCTCAACCGCAGCTTAACAGAGAGAGAGAGAGATTAGGAATATAATTCTTTCTTGATTGATTTGTTCAGCGATCACAAGCATATATGGCCAATGGCCCAACCGAGAAGGGAAAGGCTCTCCCTGATTCTAGGAATTTCCAAAACAACTCACTAATCTAAGTTTCTATCTTTAGCCACTAGAGGCTAACCCATGCAAAGCGCCTAACGCTTGGCGCTCGGCAGCTCTTGATGCAGGACGGTGGACGTCGTCAGCGCGTCGCGCGCTGGCATATAAAGCGTCCGTCACATGACATGACAATACACATGGTAAATTGCTAGTATACTATGATGTTTTTACATTTCAAAGTTCATTAGATGTTGTTTTCATGTACTGAACACTAATTATGCTTCTTTCAATGTTGTGTTGGCAGGAATTGCTTTCAATGCATGTGATAATGATGAGTTCAAGCAAATGTGCGAAGCAATTGGACAGTTTGGTCCAGGACTTGTACCTCCAACTCAGAATGCACTGCGAGGGAAGTTGCTGGAAGAAGGATATGAAAGAACCAAGAGTTTGCTGCAGGAGCGTGAAGCCAAGAAGATGAAAAATGGATGTTCTATTATGACTGATGCTTGGTCAGATAGGAAGAGGAGAAGCATAATGAATCTGTGCACCAATTGTGCTGATGGAACCTCCTTCATCAGCTCTAAGGAGATGTCACATGTCTCACATACCAGTGAGGTCATCTTTGATCTTGTGGACAAAGCAATTGAAGAGATTGGTCCAGACAATGTGGTGCAAGTAGTGACTGACAATGCCTCTAACAACATGGGAGCAAAGAGACTATTGGAAGAGAAGAGACCACACATATTTTGGACCTCTTGTGCAGCTCACACAATCAACCTTATGCTCCAAGGAATTGGCAACATGACTCGGTTCAAGAAAGTGGTTGACCAAGCAAAGGCATTTACCATATTTGTCTATGGCCACACAAGGACATTGGAGTGCTTGAGATACTTCACAGAGGGGAAAGAGGTAGTGAGGCCAGGAGTGACTAGGTTTGCTTCAAACTTTCTCACTTTGAGTAGCATGCAAGAGAAGAAGGACCAGTTAAGGAAGATGGTGGTTCATAGTAGGTGGGACTCATTGAAGGATGTGAAATCAAAGAAAGGAAAAGAGGCAACAGCAACTATATTGAGTCCAAGCTTTTGGAAGGATGTGAAGCTAACATTGATTGTTTTTGAGCCATTGGTCAAAGTCCTCCGTTTGGTTGATGGGGATGTGAGGCCATCCATGGGTTTCCTTTATGGAGAACTACTAAAGGCAAAGAGACAGATCAAAGAGGCCTTTGGAAATGTTGAGGCTCGGTTCAAGGATGTAATAGCTGTTATTGACAAGAAGATGAATGGAAGACTTGATTCTCCATTGCATTTGACAGCCTATTTGTTGAATCCTCACTATAGCTATAGTGATCCATCAATCTTTGATCAGCCCAAAATATCAGAAGGGTTTATAGCTTGTGTTGAGAAATTTTATTATCATGATGAGGACATGCAGCATCAGGCTGCCAACATTGAACTAAAGAAATTTCAGAATAGAGAAGGACCCTTTAGCAAGAAGCTTGCTAAGAATTTTGAAAACTTTGATTACAACCCAGGTAGAGGTACTTCCTATAAGCTTGCATGGATCATGGTTGTTTGTTGTTTGCTGTTTTCTAAACTAATAGAGGTGTTTTTTTATTTCAGCATCATGGTGGAGACTGTATGGATATGAAACACCAGCTTTACAGAAGATGGCTACAAGGATCCTATCTTTGACATCAAGCTCTTCTGGTTGTGAAAGAAATTGAAGTGGGTTTGAAGGGGTTAGTACCTAACTACCTATCTATTATGAACATTTCTGTTTCAGGCTTTCAGCAGCATTACAATTAAATTGTAGAACTAAGAATGCTCTTTTTAAATTGTAGATACACACTAAGAAGAGGAATAGGATTACTACAACCCGCCTCAACAAGCTGGTGTATATCCAATTCAACTCCAAGCTGCTTAGTAAGAGAGAAAAGATCAAGTCAAACAAAATCACTGATGTTCTCTTGTCTAGTGATACAACTGAAGCTCAAGGTTTTCTCCAAGAGGGTGGGGATGATTGTGCATTAGCTGACTTTAGAGATGGGGAGGAAGATGAGACGGAAGGTACCGGGATACCTTGGTCTGTCATTGGAGAGGCAGTGGGAGCAGATGAACAGCTTGAGCTGCGTAGAAGTGCAAGAGTGAGGGAGCTCTATGAAGGAGAAGAATTTGAGTCTGAAGAAGAAGAGTATGACGATGAGGATGTGAACTACAGTGAAAAAGAAATATGAACTGCAGCTGTGTCACTTTGTGTCTGTGTGTCTTCTTTTGTGATTTGTGAGACCTGAACTAAGAACTATGTGCTTGTGCTGTCCTTTATTTATAAATTGTGTTGTGCACTTGTATTACTGTCCTATCCACTTATATTGTAATTACCAGCTGCTGATATGGTGTGCTCATGGATGGGAGGCTGCTGAAATCATCCAGATAAGTCACAACTTAGTGTTTTCTATTTATTTATTTTGGATGACCAGCTAGCTGTCTATTGACTAATTTACTAACTACTAGCTGTCAAAATGTGTTGCAGGAGGCAGGAGCTAGGAACATGCAAGAAAGCAAGAGTAAGCCAGCTAGGAATCAGATATGTCTACTGGCCCTCTTTTTCTACTTACTCATTACTGTGACTCATATAGTCATATATAGTAGTTATATACATATATATAGTTATATACATAATATATATATAATTTATGGCTATATTGCCAAAACGCCTAGGAAAACGCCTAGGAGCGCCTAGGACCGAGTACTCCCGACTAGGCGCTAGGCAATGGGTCAGCGCCTAGATTCCGCCTAGCGCCTAGCTGAACTTTGGTCATGATTTATGATGAGCAAGTTAGGATTTTCAACACAGGACAAAAGGTGATAATATTGGGGGTGCAAGAACATAAGTAAGCTCTAAACATGTAATAGACAAATTAACTAAGCTACTGCAAAGAGAGTGCAGCTGTTGTACCTTCTCCTTCTTCATTAGCCAAAGTTCTCTTTCTTCTTTCTTCCTTTCTTTTTTGAACCCTGAGTACAGCATGGGAGACCCCCACTATATACAACTGTATAGAGAGGTCAAAGAGCTGTATAAAAAGAAGGCCAAAGAAAGGAGGCCCGAGCAAGGCCAGAAAAAACCTAGAATCCTACTCTCTTGCAGATTAGCATACTAATAGGCTGCAGAAAAAACAACAGATCAACATGGATTGTGACTACATAGTAGTTTGGTGTACCTACTACTGTCAGAAGCTTCAGAAATAATTCTTCAAATAATAAGGTACAAAAATAACATAGGCTTATAAAGAGCTAGATAACAAATACCCATGCCAGAAAAGAATATTTTTGAGTATTTCTGTAGCAACAAGTACAGGAAATAAATGAAGGCGATGTTTGCATTTACATGCGATAATCCTAATTAAAATGCATATATATTCTACAGGAAGAAGCATCCAAAGCCACATGAACGTTTCAATGAACTTCGGTTTGCATCTAGATACATATAATATTCTGATTAACGCTACTAGTTGCGAATTACAGGAAAAAGGTTAGCAGAGATAAGGTGAAACTAACCTGCCAGCATCGATGCCTTTGCATAGAGTACACTGGTACTGACTAAAAGCAATCCATTATTGAATGTTGCATGCAATTGATCACTTTACTCAGGGATGGGTTAACAGAGATACAAACATCGTCCACTCCATCACTTTCAATCACAGGCCATCCAGCAAACTAATCAATCACTCCATCATTTAGACATCTCAAAAACAAAAATGGTGAAAATAAAGGAAAAGATTCAATTTGAGTTCACAATTCAGAGCATATACAATTTTTTAACCGTATGAGAACGTGTTTGAGTCCAAAATTCAATTAGTAATAGCATGCAGATCACATGATGGTCATGCGTTGCAATCCCTTAAATCCTGTTTCTTCCCCATTCCCGAACATAAGCCGAACAAAAATACCTGCATGACATTTGAAACAAAGGACACATTTAGTAAAAGATGATCTTTTGGGCACGAAACAGTTGAATTTTTGTGTGCAGGGGAACTGAAAATTTAGAGGTGCACATTTTCAACATGGAGACAATTTAGTAGTGAAAAATTAGAATCTATGACAGTTATAGTTAGGTGCTACTGTTTTAATGAGTTGGTGATGACTCAATAGAATCTATGACAATGAGTTGGTGATGACTCAATAGAATCTATGACAACACTTGTTCTACTTTTTTAACGTGGTTTACATGGTTAGTGATTTGATTAATACAATTTTATGGTTTAGAAGATTTTGACTATAAAGACTTGTGCAACATATATTACAGAAAATGATTATGGTTGAAACAAATGAAAATTTGTTGGCCAAGAAATTTATCATAATGAAGTAGCTGATTAGCTGAATAAGGAGAATTATTTTTGATGGATGAAATTTTGGGACCAAGAAATTGAAAATAGATGTGGAAAACAACATCCACTCTTGGACAAATGCACAGCTATGGTTAGGGATAAATTATTTGAGCCTAGGGCAATGACGGCTAGCTTGCTCTGAGAGTCTGAGTGTTGTGCTCTTGTGACATGTAGAGGTTTACTAAAAAATTAAGCATACGCAAATGCCTCGCATTTTCTTTGAGCAAAATGTACAGCAGGGGAAGCCCCCACCGTGAGATTTTTATTAGAAAAAAGAAAAAAGGGGGGGGCACTCGCATTAGCAACTATGGATTTTGTGATCCATCAAGCCACTATGAAAAAAACTATTTGATTAATCAGAGAATCTGAATAAAATATGTCATGCTTCATAATCTAGAAAAAAGTTGTTCCTCAGGAAACGAAACACAAATATCTGAACATTTACACTCTGGTTGAAAACACATTAAATATTAGGTATCTATATTCACAAATAAAAATACAGTAGCACATGAATTCATTCCTTTCATAAAATAGACCATAAATTTTTAGTTATTTCCTCAGTCGACAAGTCGATGAAAATAGGTACATCTCCCATACAATAGATCAAATCAGTACCTTCCTACCTTAACTAACAAATTAATGAACAAATAAAATTAGAGAACCTTAAGACCAGTCTTACCTCGGCATGTAGGACAGGTTGAGTGAGAGGCATTAGCAACAGGAGGGCAGGCCGCCAGGGCCAGCGGTAGGAGCAGAGGAGAGATGGATTGTCTGCAATAAACAAATAACACCACAAATGGAGATTGAACCTGTAACCTGTAAGACTCAGTCTGCATCACAAATTCACAATGCCCTTCAACCTGTAACCTCCCAGATCAGTTCATCCCAAGGTTAAGCTGATGAGCACATAAGAAAGGAAGCTAATGAACTACGAAGAAGTGATATATGGTCGTGAAAACTCTATAGTAAGCAAGATGGCCAGATATAAGACTACTGCAGCCCCTTCCAAAATATCCACTGTGGCTTAAAACCCCTAATAAACGTTATTACAATTGCGTTAGACTATGTGCTCCACAGGTCTCACATGGTCAGGTGTATCTGCTAGCTTCAAAACGGTAGAACCTGGGTGGATACCGCAAGCTTGCTGCTCTCCCAAAATATCCACCGCACTTAACATCTCTAGTAACATGATTAAAGGTTCGATTAGGCTACCAACTGCCTGTAGAACGACTATGAAGCCACTAGCATATTTTCATGGATGCAAATGCAATTCATGTGGATGTCTTCTAAAGATCTACATAAGTATGATTGATTACCATAAGATAATAAGCAAAAAAAATCAATTGTAAAATAAATTGTCACCAAGTATTTTCATTTTCTCTGTTCTTTTTTTCCACCGAGCAAGCAGCCCCAAGCATGGGGTCCTGAACCCCTCCACAGTCTCCAAAATCGCAGTGACCAGGAGCCCTACCTATCCTCACGGCAGCTGGCAATCATAAGCTTCCCTAATCCTCTTCCTTCTCCATAGCTGCTGCACCACTTCCTCCCAAAATGAGAAGACCAATATGATTAACGCCAGCTGGGGTCATGGTCAACGTTGTTGTACTAGCGCAAGGAGTAAAACGGGAGGAAAATCACCTGGATCCCTTGAGGTAGTGGAAGAGGTGCCGCACCACATTGGGGACGAGCGTGATGTCAGGAATGACCTCGCCGGGCGGTAAATCTCGGGACACCACGGCCGCCTGCCTAGGGAATCCGCCCGCCAAGACACCTTGCACGAGATCCCTTCTAGTTGCCTGGAAGGTAGCAGTGGGGCATCGAAGTGCCAATGATGGAGAAGGCCAGTCAATTCGAAGGCATGGAGAAGCTCCATGGGCACCTCAAGCGCCGGCGCTGAACCCGGCGTGCTCGAGGCGATTCTTCTCTTCTACCTGAGTGCGGTGGCAGCAGGGCGCGGCGGCGCACAGGTGCGACATCCAGGAGGCGACGCGGCAGCGGCTCGCAGGTGCGACATCCAGGGGGCGGCGCGGCGCGGCGGCGCACAAGTGCGACAACCAGGAGGCGGCGGAGGCTCGGCGGCGCGGCGCTGGTTTGATCGAGCACGAGCTGGTTGCGAGAAAAATGAGAATCGTGTGATTATTAGTGGGCTATGGGCGGTTGTGGGCAGGTGGAGTGTGGATCTGGACACGCCAGGTGTGGACGGTTGTCGGACCTGACGAGGCTTGCTGGCTGTGTCGGACTATTGAATATACGACTCGGATACTGATTATTATTCGGTACTAAGAGTAATACATTATATATATATATATATATATATATATATATATATAAAATATATATCAAAGCAGGTTATTTTGGTCGTCAGCCAGGTCATTCATGTCATTCGAATTGTGTCCAGCCGTCCGATTCAGCGATAGACGCTCAAGATTAACTCCACCGAACGCTAAAGTTGCTCCCACTTCTGCTTCTCGATTCTTTTTCTCGTCCCCTCCTCTCTTTCTTTCTTCGCTCGCGCTCGCCCTCCTCCTCCTCCCTCGCCTGCCTCTCCCTCCATTTCTCCCTCCCCTTCCTCTCTCTCCTCTTCCCTCCCGATGCGGCAGCGGGCGGCCTCCAGACACTTCTCCTCATCCGCACCGTCCCCAACCCACCAAGCGACACATCCGCACCAGCCCTTGCCTAGGCTACCCCCACCCCCGGCGAGGTTGCCACCGACGGATGCCGCGTCTGCCTCTCCGCCCCCGGATCGGCACGTTGCCCTGGGCGGCCAGCCACCGCCGCGATGGTGACGCCAACCTAGGGTTTCGCCCGCGGCTCAGCTCATCGACCATACCTCCTGGTACCTCACCCTC